TCACAAAGGTCCTATTGAGTCTTCAGGTATCTGATGCTTCTCTGGTTCAGGCCCTCAGCCTGGCCTTGAGGTTTGCTGGTTCTATGAGTGAAAGCTCCTGGCAGGCCCTCCTTGCCTCATTTTAGCCCCGTCTGCAAGTGGATGGAAACTGGTATGCAGGATGGAGAAAATTTCCACACAAGTGAGCTTCATCTGCTTTCCATGGGGTGCTCTTCCACCAAGTAATCTTGGTCTTTTTCCATGTACTACCTCCATGTCCTCCAGTAGATTCAGATTCTAGCATTGTCCCTGCACAAGCCCTCAGATTGCTCTCTAAATGTTTTTTGTTTGTTTGTTTTTTTAATTTTAAGTGTCTTACAATACTACTATTAACAAGGTTTTATGGGTACAGTGATCCAACATCCTCCACCAGAGTGTCCACTTCCCTCCCCTCATTCTATATCCCCTCTTCACAAACTCAGTTCTGTAGAATGAGTTCTCGGGTTCCGTTTTGCCTTTGACTATTTTTTATTTCTCCCATGTCTCCTTATATCCCTCATATTAGAGAGATCATTCTGTATCTGTCCTTCTCCTTCTGGCTGACTTCATTTGGCATGACACTCTCCAGTTCCATCCATGTGGCAGAAGATTGCTTGATTTTATCTTTTCTTATTGCCCAGTGGTATTCCATTGTATGTATATACACACCACAATTTCTTTATCAAGTCATCTGTTGTTGAACTCCTGATGGTTCCAAATTTTGACTTTCATGAATAGTGCTGCAATAAATAGAGTAATGCAGATATATGTCTTTTCTAAAGATTTGGGGCTTTTGAGATAGATATCAAAAAGTAGAATTTCTGGGTTGTATGGAAGCTCAGTTCATACTTTTTTTGAAAAGTGTCCATATTATTTTTGAAAGGAGTTGAACTGGTCAACATTCTCATCAGTACTGGTTAAGGGTTCCTTTTACCCCCATCCATGCCAGCACTGGTCGGTTTTTGTTCTTTTGATGTGTGGCAAGAGTCTTGGCCAATTTTTATGTGCAAGCCATCCTCATAGACACGTCTTCCTTACCCTCCCCCTTGTAACCCCGACTTATTTTTCAATGTCTTCAAGTGGCCAGAATAGGTACCCATCACTGCTTAATTAGGTACCACTTTCTCTGCCATCAGAGAACCAAAGCTTTACTTTTCTTCTCCTGAATAACATGACAGATATTCACTTAGTGGAATGATTATTAGTATAAAATTACTTTGGGGCCTTTAAGTTTAATTATGCCACATTCAGAGCAATAAAAATCAAATCCCAAATCCAGGTGTGCCATTCAAGGAATATGTCCAGAGCAATTACCTTCTGAGAATGGTGGCCTGGACTTAAGCCTTTTGTCTGGTGTCTTAACATCTTTTCCACACAAGTAGATAATGATGTTCGTTTTGTACAGGGTGAGAGGTAGGGTGACTGATCTCTTGTTATACTTAGGAGTGAAGAAATATCCAGGACCCAGGTGTCTCCTTTGTTTCCCCTCCTCCTTCTTTCATTCTTCACAAGAATCATGGTTAGCATTCTGTAGATTTAAATACCTCCCTCTTAGGTACTGCTTTACACATTTTTTTAAGAACATGAATGGGGGAGGGCGCGAGGGGGGAGGCCTATATCACATTTCCCGGGAAGCACTGAGGTGCAGGAAAGGTGACTGGCTAGTAGGTATGTGTTCGTAGATCAGAGAGCATAGGATTCTCCAGCATTATCTCTGTGACACAGTAGCAGTGATCATGGGCCCTATGACTTTACAAATGCAGTAAAATTAGGACTGTGACCTGACTCTTAGAATGATCTTACTGGTTTTACAACAGGCACCTCTGATCACTGGACAAGCACCGTGGGGATGTGTACTTGCTTGTGCTAACAAGATGTACTTTTCTTTGCCTCGTGTAGCTAAGCCTTCCTCTCTCCCCACAATCTTTGAAAGCCAGTTTAAGTTGACCTATTTCTCTTCTCCAGGAAACTATTCCATGTTTAACTCCCAGTCATGACCCACTTATGATTTTTTCAAGTAAACAGTCTTGAACTGAGCATTACTTAAATGGACCGCTCCTCATCTGACCACTAAACCCTTCCCTGTCATGTAATAGGTGTCTGACTTTGTATGAACATTTTGTGTCTAATGGTATTATTGGGCCTTGAGGGAAAAGCTTGTATACATACATGGTACTATATTTCCTAACTCCAGGAATGACTCTTGCACATAACAGCAGCTTCATAGACTTAAGAATTAAGAAATATTGGCCAGGGTGGGGGTAGGGGTGGGGAGAATTGTGCATAAAATGTCAAACTATATACCTTTTTTAAAATCCAATATAAGTTGTTGATTAAAATTAAAATAACACTGAGTCTGAAACAGCCCTGAGGTTTTTTTTTTCCTTTTTTTGTAGGAGTACTGCTATTTATTCAGCCACTGATTAGCTGATTGAATTGTGCATGAACTCCACCTTACTTTTTTTTTCTTTTTCCATTTTTTTTAATTTTATTTATTGAATCATCGTGAGAGCAGTTACCAAGCTTTTGGGTCTAAGTCTCAGTCATACAATGAAACACCCGTACCTTCACCAGTGCCCATTCTCCACCACCAAAAATCCCAGTATACCCCCATCGCACACCCTCCCCCTGCCTGTGGGGCAGATGATTTCTACATTACTCTCTCTCTACTTTGATCACATTCACTATTTCGACACCAGACCCACCATTATTTAAGATTTTACCCCAACACTCAGATCTGCAGAAAAGGCAACAATAGACAATTTGTGTTCTATTGCTGGTTATGAATAATATATGATGTCGTGTGGCTGCAGTAGGGCCATGTAGTTTTGAAATTCTGAAATTTTAACACTTAAATCTGGAGGGATTTCTGCCAAAAGCCACTGGGTTTAGAGATCTGCTCCTGAGTCTCTGGGATCATGGCCGTTGAGCAGCTTGATGAGGAGCCCAAAGAGGCCATTCGTGGGTGATGACTTGGGGTCTCATTGGGGTGGGGAAGACAGGCCCGGCTCCACCTCCTCCCCCCCATCCCGTGAGACCCAACAAGTTTCGTCACTGCAGGCCCAAGCCTGACTGTCCAATGGCCTCTGGAGGATGACAGCCACCAAGTCGCCAAGAGGAAGCGGGCAGAGGGACAGCACCCATTCCCCCCTGGGGTGGCCCAGCGACAGTAACCTACTGCAGGGTCCGGACACATTTCTGACAAAAGCCACTGGATTTTGAGATTTGTTTCTGAGTCTCTGGGATCAAGGCCGTTGAACAGCTTGATGAGGAGCCAGAGAGGCCGTTTGTGGGCGATGACTTGGGGTCTCGTTAGGGTGGGGAGGACAGGCCCGGCTCCACCTCCCCCCCCATCCCGTGAGACCCAACAAGTTTCGTCACTGCGGGCCCAAGCCTCACTGTCCAATGGCCTCTGGAGGATGACAGCCACCAAGTCGCCAAGAGGGAGCAGGCGGAGGGACAACACCCTTTCCTCCCTGGGGTGGCCCGGCGACAGTAACGTACTGTGGAGTCTGGATGCATTTCTGCCAAATGCCACTGGGTTTTGAGATTTGTTTCTGAGTCTCTGGGATCATGGCCATTAAGCAGCTTGATCAGGAGCCAGAGAGGCCATTCATGGGCGATGACTCGGGGTCTCGTTGGGGTGGGGAGGACAAGCCTGGCTCCAACCTCATCCCGCGAGGCCCTGTGTGTCTCGTCACATTTGGGGGCCCAAATGTGACTATCCAGTGGCCTCAGACGGATGGCAGCCACTGGGCCGCCAGGGGGAGTAGGCCAAGGCACGAAACCTATTCCCACCTGGGTTGGCCCAGCACCGGTAGCCTACTGCAGAGACCAGACGCATTTCTACCTAAAGCCACTGGGTTCTGAGATTCGTTTCTGAGTCTCTGGGATCATGTCCATTAAGCAGTTCAATCAGGAACCACAGAGGCCTTGCTTCCAATTATATAGCTGAGCCGGAGGTGGTTTGTGGGTGTGTTTCCCACATACCTAACTTTTGGCCGTTTACTTTCTTGGTAAACTTTGCCCCAAGTTTTTGGGGTCTGGCCAAAGGTACAGCAGCAATTTTGGGGTATCTGGAAGTCTGAAGGCGCCATGAGGCTGCTGATGCACTCGCCTCACAGGTACAGATTGACCTGCTGGCGGCACCATACCCCCAGCCCTGAGTTTCCATTCCTTGGTTCATTGCAGCCCCCTGTTATATCCTGTTATGTGTGAAAAAAAGATCAAGTCTGTATTAAATTCCTCAGCAGGCCAGGATCCTGAATAAAGAGCACTCTAATGCAGCGAGATGCTGAAATAAATGAGTATGGTCATGTAAGAAAGGAAGACTGTGAGGAACAAGATTCAGAAAGATTTACAGTTAAAGGAGAGGATGGAGGGGATATGGCCCAGTGAGTGGTAGAACACTAGCTTTGTACAGATGAGGCTCTGAGTTTGATTCTCCTCACTGCATGATTCCCTATGCACCATGCTGGGAGTGTCCCCCAAGCATAACCAGGTTGCTCCCAACAAGAGGATGTATCTAGGTGAGGAATTCTGAGAGCATCCATTCATTTACTTAACAACTATCTAATGAGTGGCCATTTTCTGTTCCAAGGTGCTGGAACTTTTTATTGAGAGGTTGTAGGTGAAGATTAACACCTGTATTCCCATTCCTTCTCCCAAACAGAAATGCAGAGATCCAAACTAGCATTCCAGAGGCATGCTAGTTCCAGTTTGTTTTTGTTTTGTTTTGTTTTGTTGTTTTTTCCTAATGCAAAAAGCATTCTGGGGAACAGAAGACTGAAAATATGCTTGCAACCCACCTCCCCCGAAGTATTTAATTCTCCTGGATTACAGAGCCAGTTTCTTCTCTATAGCTCATTAACACTAACAGAACACTCAGTGCTAGTGTTGCTCTGAAGTTTTTCATCTCATAATAAAATATTGACTGCCTGTGTGGGCGCTACTGACACTGCTTGCCATTTGGTTTCTTCCAGAATCTTTTACCCAGGAAGCCATCCTGTGAGAGGTGTGCAAGTAATGAAAGTTGGCAAACTGCAATTACACCAAGGCATGTTTCCCCAAGCGATGAAGAATCTGAGATTGGTGAGTGTGTCAAGATCTCAAACAGTTCTGCCAAGAATCCTTTTTCTGGCTTTTAGTTGGCTTTGTCCTGTGGTTCTCATCAACTCAGAATCCACATGCATCACACACACACACACACACACACACACACACACACACACACACGCAGGCACCTACTTAAATAGATATTTACCAACCAGCTCAGAGAAAGCCTGATTGGACTAGTTAGCATAGCTCTGTGTATAAGCAGCCCATGTATAAACATGCCCACCAGGGTTTGCTTTGAATTACCAATGTGAAATCAAATAACTCACCAAATCATGAAAATTAAACATTCTTATCTCACATACTGGGCAAGCCAACCTCAGAATGTCACCATCCTATTTGTGCCTATCTCAGTCTGAACCCTTCCCCAGGCCTCTCATACACTGCCCAGAGGAAACAACTTGACCGTGTCTGCATCCCACCTCCTTTCACCCCTCCTTCCCTCTCCCCTTAGTCAGGGTGTAGGAAACCACTCACTGTTGCCCAATGCACACTTTGTTCACACTTAGGTCTACTTGAAGCAGTTGCCTCTGATTTAAAGGCCTCTCCCCACATTCTCCTGGTTTAGATAGAACTCTATGGATCCTTTAAGATCCAAATACTCCTACAATTCCTTATTTGTTTGTTAATTTGGGGTTTGGACCACACCAAGCAGTGCTCAGGGTTTACTCCTAGCATAAGTTCAGGGATCACTCTTATCAATGCACAGAGATTGGAGTTGAACCCAGCTCCAGTTGAACCCAGGTTGAACCCAGCCATGTGCAAGGCAAGTACCTTATTCCCTAGCACTATCACTCTGGCCCCTGTGAATCTTCAGTTCTCTGCCCTCTTATTAATAGTGCACTTATCAGTGACACCCCTCTCCCTTTCCAAAAATCATAAGAAGATCACGATTCTTTGTGGTTATCATTGTAGTCTTGCAGCACCATCTAACCAATGTGGAACTTTGGAAGTATTCATAGTGGGAGGAAAGACAAAGGAGGGACATTGGTACTATGCTAGCGATAATGGGAGAGTCAGATCCTGGTTGGGACACACTGTTGAAGAGAACTGCTTCCTTCTCCTCAGTGAGTCTCCTCTGGTCCTGGAAGCCCAGAACGCTCTGCTTTCCTGCCTTCCAAGCAGAGACCCTTCTCATCCATGCCATGACTTTTTTTTTGCTTTTTTGGGTCACACCCCGCAATGCTCAGGGGTTCCTCCTGGCTCTGCACTCAGGAATCACTCCTGATGGTACTCAGGGGACCAAATAGGATGCTGAAACTCTAACCCAGGTTGGCCACATGCAAGGCAAACGCCCTACCTGCTGTGCTATCACTCCAGCCCCCATGCCATGACTTCTGAAAGGAAAATTCCTGTGTCATTTCTGGCACCAGTGGTTGTGCAGAGCTGCATGTGAGGAACTGTACCCAATATGCTGGCACCATGCACCCGTGTCTGCAGAAGAACCTCAGTGAAGAGCTCACATCTGAACTGGACTGGGCTCTCTCAAAAGGCGACCAGGACTCGGCCACTCCATGCTGGGTGTATTCCTCAAGCATAGCCAGGGTGCACCCAACAAGAGGATGTATCTAGGTGGGGAATTCTGGGAGCGTCCATTTGTTAAGTAAGTAAATGTGCTTAACAAGTATCTAATGAGAGGCCACTTTCTGTTGCAAAGCGCAAGAGCTTCGTTTTGAGAGATTATAGGTGAAGACTAACACCACTAACACCACTCCTCCTCCCAAACAGAAATGCAGAGATTTCCCTCTACTTGAGAAAATAGGAAATTTGGGAGCCCCTGTATTCTTTTTTCTTATGTGCTGACAATGTTCCCTTTTTCTCCTCTAACTGAAATCAGTTGTTGGCCAACAAGAACACTGTGCTTCCTGAAGACACAAAATTCTTGTTTTTAGCTGACCCAGCATTCTTGCCCAGACTGATGTAAGAATACCTAACGGTCTCAGGGAGAGCTTTCCTTTCTGGTCTTGCTAAGAGTTTTCAGGCACTCAAGTGATGCAGAAAAAAAAAATCTACTATATGAGGTTTTTGATAGAAAAATACAATAGACAAATTTGCTCAAGTCTTTATGGGAAAATTCCCGTAAATTCATCTGCACATAACTGTTTTAGGAGGATTAAGTTAATTCCTTATGCTTCTAAAGGACTAAATGTATTGATACTGTGCAGATATACAGGATCCTTGTGATAGACAATTACCACATGAGGTGAGCAGGCTAAGAGTTTTTCATTCTTGTTTGAAAGTTGAAGGAGCTAAAGTTTGAATATATGCAAGAGCTATGCCATAGGCAAACACAGATGGAGTTAGATCTATTTTATTCAGTTTAATTCAACGTTTCTTGGTTAAATGCTTCTATTCTGAGTAGGAACTAGTGTTGTCCTTATAATTCAATGGAGGAGACAGACATGAACAAGTCACTAAATCCAGGCTGCAATTCAAGGTTCTGTTCTTTACCTAGAGACTCGCCCAATTAAATATATAAGCCTCTCTAGGAAATCTCAGTGTGTAGAAACTTCTTTGGAGTCCCTTATGCAACTCAGAGGAGAAAGTGGAGAGGAAAGCAGAGATCTGGATTTCTTTTGTTCTTTATGTGAGGTTTTACTATTGCCACTGCACACAGAATTAACATCCTTGGCTAGAAAGACAAGTTTAAACAAATGCAGACTGATGTACAGATTAGGATTTGTGGAATGGCATGGTCTGGGTTACTTGTACTGACCATCACCAGCTCTAAATGCATTCTTATTGCCTATCTATACCTCTCATTCCCAGCTCCATTCTCTTACTTATGTCCTCCTGGGATGCTACCCTACTTCCTCCAGAAGCTTATGTTTGTCACTGTTTTAGCATCTTTATTTCGAGGTACCAAGCATAGACCCAGGTAGCTGGAGAATGAAAGAGTCTTGGAAAAGCAACAGAATGTTTATCATGCAATGTTTATTTTTTTTAATATTTATTTCTTTATTGAATCACTGTGGGGAAAGTTACAGAGCTTTCGGGTTTAGTCTCAGTCATGTAAATATCAAACACATTTCCCTTTACCAATACTTATTTTTAACCGTGAACCCCAATAGAACCCCACCTCCCACCCATCCCAATTCCTGTGAGGCAGATGAGTTCTAGTTAATACTCTATCTACTTTGACTAGATACATTGTTTCGATAGAAGATGCACAATTATTGTTTAGAGTTTACGACCCCCCCCCCCAATCAGGTATGCTGAAACAGCGTTGTGAAATGATTTGCTTTCTACAGCTTGGTTTAAGAATAAAATGATGTCGCGCGGCCGCAATAGCAGCCGCGCGGTTTTGGATTTCTGCTATTTTACTTATTAACCCTGGAAGTATTTCTATTAAAAGTTAGATAGTTAATAGATTGGTTTCTGTGCTCTGGAGTCGTGGCCGTGCCGGAGAGCCGCTCGTGGGGGGCAGCTGGTGACCTCGGTCGGGCGTGAAGGACGGCCCATTACGCCCCCCTTCCCATATCATGCAATGTTTAAATCATAGCCTTACTGCAGACCTCCTATTTGACTCAAGGAAAGTCAGGGCATCTCTTGCTGAGTTCTGATTATTGATCAGAATGCAAATGTACAACACAGGCAAAGCTGGTTACCAATAGAGTAAGCACTCATGAAGATTCAGTAGGTTCTGGTTCAAGTCCCACAATCACTCTTTTTGCAAAATGAGGCAAGTTTCCTAATTCCTCTGGATATCATTTTCCTGGCGTGTTAAGGAAGTAAAAAAGATAATGTTTAAGAATGTGTTTTGCCATGTCTCAGATATTTTAAAACTATGAAGGATTATTATTGTTATAGGAGCCCCTCATTCTGATTGTTCGCCCAGTTCCTTCAACACTGGTATTTGTAGTTGAGGTTAGATGGTGGATCCACTGTTGAATGATTTTTATCAGCCCCTGTGTTCTCTTCCTCAAGGGTAAGGAAGAATTCTCAAGGGACTCTGATTTATGTACTTTCTGTGTCTCTTTGTGTCACCTAACATAGTCACATATGCCTTAAACACAGCAAGTTCTGTCAAATATTTGAATGAATGGATTTTTTTAATGATAAAAAGTTTTTAAAGCTTTCCTTATTTGAATCACCTGCAGAGCTTTGATATATCTTACTGTCTTTCTTATATTCCTGCAGAGTTGAGGGCCAGACCACAATCCTAACAGTGATATCAGAATCATCTCTGAGGGTGGGACCAGGTGTCAGTATTTTGAGCCTGTTCAGAAGATTCCTTGTGTGCAGTTAAGTTTGAAACAAGCAGGGTTTAAATGCCCTGTCTGACCCTGTCCTTTCACTTGCATAGACTGATAGATCTGATCTTCTCAACCATTGCTGACCATTTGCTGGCAGAGAAACAACCCAAACCTGTCCTTCTCTTCACAAGTTTATGTGGTCAATTTTTTCCTGTAGAGACTCTCTTCCAGAAGCTTCTCTGGGCTTGTATAACCTGGAAAGGGACTGAGAAGACAGTCTTTGCCTTTGAAATGAATGTTCCTGTAGATTTGAATTCTAAGTCAGTTTTCCCCAAAATGGGTGTTACCACTCCACCACAGGTGGGTGGGGTGTTAGGGTATTGGGGGAACTTCCTGTTTATTAACTTAAAAAAAGAAGATTTCCAAGGGGGTTTCCAAGTAGTTTTGCGTTATTTTTTTTCTTTTTTCTTTATGTAAAGGGGAAGCTGCTGAACACGTATAATCTAGGTATTCTGACTTGTCTTAGAAACTTTGTAAATAATAGGATAATCTTCAATAAAGGTTTCAAAGGATAAGTTTGGAAGAGAAATTAGAAAGACTTCATAAATAGAAACTTCATAAACAGAACTGAATCTTGTTAGAGATTCAGTTAGGTATTCACCTCCTCCAAGAAAAGAATCCACTTAACTCAGCACTGATTTGGTTTAATCTTTGGTCTCCACTGGATATAGCTGACACACATGCACTTGTGGGCACCAGACAGCAAGGTCTTCGAAGACG